CCCTCCATCCGCCCTCTCGCCCCTTTCACCTTTGCCCCTCTTCTCCTCCTCCGAAACAGTCTCAAACCCGAAATGTGTTTCCGTTGCCGGCTTCTCTTGGGACAAGTGCCGGGCACCCAGCGGGTCGCTGGGCCAGGAGCTACAAAGCCCGGAAAGCCGGCAGCATCGCATCATCCGCGACCACCTACGACCGCAGTAGCTCCATAGAGCGCAGCTCCTGTGGGTCGCCATCTTGGCAATAGGAGGGCAGAACGGACCGCACGTAGAGTTGCGCCACTAGAGGGCCAACGGCGGCCGGTAGGAGACATTATTAGCCGAACGCGTCCTGAAAACCTTTGCTGGGGAGCTAAGTGTGATTCCTGGGATTCAAAGGCTACTTAGTTCTTGAGTACCGGAAATCCCTTCTCTCTTCCCACTTGAATATAGAATTCACCCGAAAGGAAGGGACCTTAGGATGAGCCCACAATCACCTCTCCGCGGCCATGTCTCTGAATCTTGTCAGCCAGCAGTTAAGAATGCTAACTCGAAAGACACCCAATAACTCTTGTTTTCCGGTACAGAAGTAGGAAACTAAAGTATGGTGTGGTTACAATAAAGAGATTACAAGATCAGTTCTCTTATATTTTGATGTGCCTAAGGATCACCTGGTTTGATCTTTAAAATGCAAATTCCTGCGGGCACCTGGGTGGCTCAATAGGTTAAGCCTCTGACTTTTGATTTTGCTCGGGTCATGATCTCAGGGTCGTGATATTGAGTCCAGATAGGGCTCTGTGCTGGGCATGGAGACTGCTTGGGATTCTATCTCTCCCTTTGCCCCTGCTGTCTCTTTCCTTTTTTTTTTTTTTTCTTTTTGGTCTCTTTCCAAAAAAAAAAAAAAAAAAAAGTCAGATTCCTGGGCCCAAATACCAGAGTTTTTGAATCTGTATATTTGGAATGGAATGGGCATTGGGAATCTTTATTGAACAAACGTCTATGGTGATTTTTTTTTAAGATGTATTTATTGGAGGGGGAGGGGCATAGAGAGAGAGAGAATCCAAAGCAGGCTCCACACCCAGTGCAGAGCCCCATGTAGGGCTTGATCTCACTACCCTGAGATGAACTGAGACAAAACTAAGAGTTGATCACTCAACCCACTGAGCCATCCAGGCAACTCACAAACGTGATTCTGATGCAAGGAATTTGCAGACCATTCTTGAGAAACATGTGCTAGACTACTCTGAAAAATAAACGTACAAAAGACTGTTCTTTGGTCTTTACATTTTATGTACCTGAGAAGTTCATAAATGGGAAGGAAAGCTCTGGTGTCTATTTAGTGAGTCAGATACAATCACCACTCACCCTCGTTCTGTCACAAAGCTACACTTCTAGAGCCAACTGGCTTATCATGGATGTTTACTTCAACCCCAGATTTTCCTGTATTTTTTTATGGAAAGGGTAATGTAGACCATCTTGTGCAAAAGAGGATGGAGGTGGTGAGTTTTGCTTGGATTTCTATATGTTTCTGCTTTGATTCCCTTTTTAAACGTATGTTTCCTGTAAATACTTCACAAGGAGAAAGTGCCAAGGACCCTAAGAAACTATTTTGAAAATGAAAAATCTCTTCCTGGTTTAATGTGTAGCCTGACAGATGGACACCTACTGCTTTCTTTTGGAAGAGCTGCATGGATTTTTCTTCTTTCCCTCTCTTTTATTTTTAAAAGTGATAGAAAGAATGATTCATCCATGTAATTAGAGTTCTCACATCATTGTTAAAAAAATAAAAATTCATCAAGGAAAGTTAGTTTATCTTCCATATCTAGTCATACATAAGAATGGACCTCAGGATTTGGGGTTGTTCCTTCTGGATATATATTTTTAAGATTTTATTTATTTATTCATAGACACACAGAGAGAGGTAGAGACACAGGAAGAGGGAGAAGCAGGCTCCATACAGGGAGCCTGATGTGGGACTCGATCCAGGGTCTCCAGGATCACACCCCAGGCTGCAGGCGGCACCAAACCGCTGCGCCACTGGGGCTGCCCTGGTCCTTCTGGATATTAAAGTAACCAGACTGAGATGCCTGAGTGTCTCAGCGATTGTCTGTCTTCGGCTCAGGGCATGATCCCAAGGTCCAGGATCGAGTCCTGCATCGGGCTCCCTGCGAGGAGCCTGCTTCTTCCTCTGCTTCTCCCTCTGCCTGTGTCTCTGCCTCTGTGTGTGTGTCTGTCATGAATAAATAAATAAAATCTAAAAAAAAAAAACCAGACCAACATTATGTATTTGTTCTCATTTTGATATGACATGTGGGGAAAAAAACTGCAAAAGGTGAAGCAGGACAAGGACTGATGAAGGCTATTTTAAGGAAATTTAAAAATATGAGATTAGGGGCACCTGGGTGGCTCAGTTGGTTAAGCGTCCGCCTTTGGCTCCAGTCAGATCTCAGGGTGCTGGGATCAAGCCCCATGTTGGTCTCCCTGTTGAGGCAGGGAGTCTGCTTCTCCCTCTCTCTGCTCATGCTCTCGCTATCTGTCCCTCTCAAAATAAATAAATAAAATCTTTAAAATAAAAATATGAGGGACGCCTGGGTCGCTCAGTGGTTGAGCATCTGCCTTCAGCTCAGGGCATGATCCCGAAGTCCTAGGGTCGAGTTCTAAGTCCCACATTGGACTCGCTGCTGAGAGCCTGCTTCTCCCTCTGCCTGTGTCTCTGCTTCTCTCTCTGTGTTTCTAATGAATAAATAAATAAAATCTTTTAAAAATAAAAAATAAAAATATGAGATTAGTATCTCATTTTCTTTATTAGAGTTAAAACTATTAATTTCAAGAAATTGATTGACTTATATATACATACTTATTGTTTTATATCCCATATGATGATGCATGCAAAAGAAGCCAAGAAGGACCCAATGATGGGAATTCTAGGATTTTATCTATTTACTTGTTCAGATATGACTGCTGAAATTCCACTGATCCTTCTATGCTCAACTCAAGTGACACCTCTCTGAGAAGCCCTCCTCTACCTCCTCAACTGTTTATACATCTCCTTGGAGCCTTTGCTATAGTCAGCATTTTGTGTTAACTTTATGATAGTTCTTGTTACCATCTTTCCTTATAGTTTTTCTTCCTTACTCCCTCCCTTTCTTCCTTTCTTTTGGGTGAATGATATGTTATTTAGTCAGTTTTGTTTACAAGTGAATTCTGGGAATTTAAAGTTAACATCCTTGCTAGTGAACTTGTTATAGACAGCAGGAAAAGCTTCACCTTTGTGTTCCACATCGTTCTGCTATGTTTTATCCAAATGAACTATTACAAGCTGGCTGCCATCCAGTTTCGTGTGGATTCTCTTGCCCATAATTTCACTTAGGAAGACTAAGCCCTTCAGGATTGTATCATGCACAGCTATCAGAGTGTGGAACACTTGCTTATTTTTTTGTATAGCTTTTTTTGAGTTGGCTCAGGCAACTTGGCAATAAAAACATCATACTTCCAACTGAACTTTTTCTCCAGTGTACAAAATAGCTGGACTTGGATTTTATGGAAAGATTTCAGTTGAGGAATGGGAACAAAGATTATAATAGTTTTTTAAAAGATTTTATTTATTTATTTATTCATGAGAGACACACAGAGAGAGGCAGAGACATAGCAGACTACTCGCTGGGAGCCTGATGTAGGACAGGATCTTGGGACTCCAGGATCACAACCTGAGCTAAAGACATATACTCAACCACTGAGCCACCCAGGTGCTCCTGATCTAAGCTTTTTTGAACCATTTTCCTTGTCTTTAAGTTTGAGTTGATGTATTAAGTGTGATAATCCATATAATCCACAGTGCAATGCCTGCTAATGATAAGCTCTCAAAGATAATACTATTAACAATGAAATACATATATTTTCTTGAAAGAGAGAAAGTATACACATGCGAGCAGGGGAGGTGAGGGGCAGAGGGAGAGGAAGAGAGAGAATATTAAGCAGACTTTGAAAGCCAGGAGCCTGACTCAGGGCTCCATCTCAGGACCGACCCTGAGATCATGATCTGGGCTGCAATCAAGAGTTGGATGCTTAACCAACTGGGCCACCCAGGCACCCTGACAATGGCTTCTATTAATAAATGACTTGTTAACAATGAAATGAAGTTTTGTATGAGGAAGTGCTGTGCAGTGATTTAAAGTAGGGTTTTGTCATTATTTTTGCCCTTATTAATATTGGGGGATAGAGCCATAAATAAATTGATATTCATACTAGATTAAGAACCATAACCAATAAATAAACAAAAAGATTCCACAGATATTCCAATGTTTGGGTTATTAGTAGTGGTGCATATTATTGTGCACATTATTAGCCTACTTAAACTAAAACCTGGGATCCCTGGGTAGCGCAGCGGTTTAGCGCCTGCCTTTGGCCCAGGGCGCGATCCTGGAGACCCAGGATCGAATCCCACGTCGGGCTCCCGGTGCATGGAGCCTGCTTCTCCCTCTGCCTGTGTCTCTGCCTCTCTCTCTCTCTGTGTGACTATCATAAATAAATAAAAATTAAAAAAAAAATAAACTAAAACCTGAACTATAAGTCCCATCAACCTTTCAAACGGAGGGGTGGGAGGGTGGAACTCACTGGGCCCGGATGTAGGTAGAAAACTACATTTCCCAGAGGGCATTACTCCCACATTGCCACTATATATACTCCATCCGGGTTCTTCGAGATGCTGTTTGGCGACTCGTCGCCATTCCCGGAGCACCTCGGCCTCGGCCCAGAGGCGAGTGTCGGTCGCTGTGTCGGAGACACCCGTCCCCGACACCAAGACAGCCAGCCCTCTCCCCTGCCCCGCGGCGGGAGAGCGTGTCCGGCCGGCCGGCGGGGCTCGCGCACCCTCCCTCGCCTCCCCTTCCCCCGCAACCTCCGCCCCGCCAGGCCCGGCCCGGACCTCCGAGCCCCGGCCTCCTCCTTCTTCTCTGTCGCCACCGCCGCCGCCGCCGCCGGGCTCGACAGCCCCGCCCGCCGCTTCTCTTTCCAGTTTGAGAAGCCGAGGAAGGAAACAGGGAAAAATGTCGCCATGAAGGCCGAGAACCGCTGCCGCCGCCGACCCCCTCCGGCCCCGAACGCCATGAGCCTGGGTCCCCGCCGCGCCCGCTCCGCTCCGACCGCCGCCGCCGCCGAGGCCCCCGTTGATGCCGCAGAGCTCCCCCAGCGCCGCCGCCACCGCTTCCGACATGGACAAGAACAGCGGCTCCAGCAGCTCCTCCGCCTCTTCGGGCAGCAGCAAAGGGCAACAGCCGCCCCGCTCCGCCTCGGCGGGGCCGGCCGGCGAGTCTAAACCCAAGAGCGGTAAGGGCGTGCTCCCCGGGCGGGGAGCGGGGGGCGACTGCCCCGGAGGCTGGGGAGGATCCTCGCTGTTGTCCGCTGGGTCACCCAGGGACAGCTCCGCTTTCTACCATCATTTCTACCTTTCTCCCCTTTTCCGTGGCTCCCGTTGTTTATAAACTAACACTTAATGAACACGGTGCAGCGCGGTTTACGTGAATGCTTGCATTAACCTTGCATTAATACTCGAAACAGATTGGTGAAGTAGGTGCTATTCTTACCCCCATTTTGCGGGTGAGGAAACTGAGGTTCAGAAAAGGTAGGGTATGTGCCTCACGGCAGGCCTTAAGACCTGCTGGTTTGTCTGACTCACCAGTCCACGCTTCTAAACCACCGAGTTGTTCTACCCTTTAATGTTGAATTAGCATTGGAGAGTGTTCAAGTTTAAACAGGGGAGGGTGGGGCCCAAGGACTTTTCAAACTCAAATTTCCTAGTCATCTGGTTCCGGATCCATTCCTCTGTTGAGGAAGACTGGTCCTCTAATGGCTTTGTTGATTGTGGAGGAGTAGTTAAGAGCGAGGGCTCTGATTCAGTCTTTTTAGATATGCCAAACCTTGAGCTTCCAAATTGCCTTTTCCATGAAGGTAGAGATAATAATTAATTAAATTAACTTAGAAAACAAACGAACTAAGAGCTTAGAAGAATACCTGAGAGCTAGTCGCCACATACACATCATGCTTGTTTTCCTGTAGTAGGTTAGAGTCCTTTTGCAGGGAAAATTTTATTTTTGCAGTCAGGCCTTTCGATATTATGACCATCTTGGTGATGATAGCTACTGCTTATTGAGGGCTTAACCATGCACCAGGGCCTGGGCTAGGTTTATACCTCTGTTATCTATACTCTAATTGTTAGCTTGTCCAGCAAGGTGGAATTGTTCATTTCTGAAGAAGGAAAAAGCTGAGAGACCAGGAGTTTAGGAGTTGGCAGAGTCTGGAGTTGAATGTTCTCTGTAGTATTTCAAAGCCTGTGTACAAATCTCTGCTATTTTCTGCTGTGATTATATGAGCAGTAACAGGAAGATGTTTGCAGTGGAAGTGAGGATGTGTGGCAGACAGGGAACATTTGAAGTCCCCAAATGTGGATGTCCGATTTAAAACTTTTTAAGATTTAAAAACTGTCAGGCTTTAAAAACAAAGAGAAAAAACAATCTTAAGACTGACTTGAGTTCAGAGTTGATCTTTTGGATATAGCAAACTTGTTTACCTGGTATGCTGAAGACTTCTAGAAATTGTTTATAGGAGTTCCAGGTGGAGGCCAATTGTATCAATAATAAATGCTTTAAATAACTAAGCAGGGATTAGTGTGGACTTTCGGGCAGTATTATGTAGATTAATTTGGGGGTTTTGCCCATGTGTAGCTTTATCACATATCCCTCTAGAATTAGAGGGTAGCCACCCCTCTTGGCTAGTGTTGGAACTGCTGGTTTGGTTTAGTCTAAAAATTTTTGGTGTAATTGATAAATAACTACTTTTAGTAGGTTAGAGTCCTTTTGCAGGGAAAATTTTATTCACACTCTATTCCTAGGTGTGAAGTTAAAGATGATGATTTTCTAGCTGTCTGAATTGTCAACTAATTTTTCTGGGCTTCCTTTTAAGTCACTGACATAAAATAATGAGTCTATTGCAATAATTGTCTTTGGTTTATTCTGTAGTGAGGCAGTAGCGAACGTTTGTGACAATAATAAATCCAATAAGAAAACCGATATTTTAAGGCATTTTACTTATTTTGTCCCTAACTTTGAATATGTTGGTTAGACCTAACTCTGATTACCCATCAGGATGATAGAGAATTGTTGTAGTTTGACCAAGAAAATATTTGTTAGTGTTAGTGTTTCAGATAGACTTGTATAGAATACTTATTGTTGGTTTTCTGAGTAAGGTGATTTTTTAATAACAGTTGAATAGTATGAAATGCTCTTAAAACACTTGTTCACCTTCTTAATTGAAAGCTTTTAAGGAAGGAAGGAGTTTTTGCCAAGTTTTATAAAATACGCAGTGTGCCGTCTGGTAGCATTAGTTTTTAATATGTTAGCAAGCTTGTGCATGTTTGCCATTGCCAGTGCCTACTTTTCTGGCTACTGCCGTGTACCCTTAACAAATAGGAAGGATAGGTTTGTAGCTAAATACATAGTTTATTAGGCATAATCCACTGCATGCATTTAGAAATAGATCAAAGGCAGAGTAGGTAGAAATTAAAAATGGCTTAGGAAAAGCTGGATATTGGCTAACTTTTAAGGTTGAACTGAAGGGCAGCAAATGCTGCCCTAAGAACGTTATAGCTGGGGATCCCTGAGTGGCTCAGAGGTTTAGCGCCTGCCTTCTGCCTGGGGCGTGATCCTAGGGTTCCGGGATCGAGTCCCGCATTAGGCTCCCTGCATGGAGCCTGTTTCTCCCTCTGCTTCTCTCTCTCTGTCTCTCTGTCTCTCATGAATAAATAAATAAGATCTTAAAAAAAGCAAAAACCAAAAACGTTATAGTTAGGGGCACCTGGGTAGCTCAGTGGTTGAGCATCTGCCTTTGGCTCAGGCCGTGATCCCAGGGTCCTAGGATCAAGTCCCGCATCAGCCTCCCTTGCAGGGTGTCTGCTTTTTTCTCTGCCTATGCCTCTGCTTCTCTCTCACGAATGAATAAATAAAATCTTAAAAAGAAAAAAATTTAAAATAGAACATAGCTAAGACCAATGCTGTTATGGCACATATCATTCAGGACCTCTTATACACCGATTCTAGAGGGTTCTAACAAAACGGTAGGCTCATATTCAGCATAATTCCATAGGTTTCTGTAGTATTTCAGCAGCTGACTCAATACTTCATGTACTTGATTCTGCTGGAAACTTGAAAGGACCTCTTGAGTTTCAGAGTTCTGAGTTGAAGAAAGAAAAGGGAGGGTGAGGGGAAAATACATAACTTTCTTTGTTAAAGTAACAGGAACAGGGGTTGTTCAGATTTTAAATATTTAATTCTCCTTTCTTCTTTCCTTTCCCTACCTCAGGTGAGGAAAAAAACCCTCTTCTGTTTTCTTAAACTGCATGTCAGAAATGGTCATTTGCTTCCTAGCTACGTGTTTAATATACTTGAGTCTTTGTTTCTGCACTTGGCTTAAGTTCACACACTCAGGAAATAGGTAAATTTGGCTCCTGGGATTTAACTTGGTCTTTTCTGCCATAGTGGCATACCACAGTTTCTTTCCTTTGGCTAATTACTTTAGACATTCACAGAACATTCCTTTTCTTGGATTTATTCCTACAGCTTTTTGTTCAGTAGGCCTAAAATGTAATTCTAAGAATGTTTAACAGTGAATAGCCCAAGAATATAGCCCAGAGGAGAAAAGTGGTTTAAGGTTTGGGGAAAGTCATTTAGAAAGAGCAAAGAAAGTAAAAAGAGGCAAGAGAGGTTAGGCAGTTTATGGACAAACAATGGAACCTGGCCCAGAACCAGGCTCTTGCCCCATTCCCCTGGGCGGGGGATGGTACTACCATGGAGGTTAAGGGAAGGTCAGGTATTATGAAGTAGTTATTTTGAGGTTGATGATATGAAGCACTATCCTGACACACTTCCTCTTATTCCGGTACCAGGAGCCAGGTTACTAGTGGTAATCTGCCTTGAAGACTGCTTCTAAGCTGTAAATGGACCAGGAGGTTTTGATGGCTTTGTAAATTGAGGTGACTTGAAGCTTTTAATAACCATTTAGAGAAGTTACAAGAATTTCCGGGCCTGTTGGCTGGAGTCTTTGGTTTATATGGCTTTGTTGGAAGTCTAGTGGGTGCTCTTGACAGGAATTATTTAGATTTATTAATTATAATAGTCTTCCAAATAATAATGGAAACTTTGTGCCAACCACTGTTGTAGGCATTTTACAGAAGTTTTAATCTTCATGACCCTATGAGGAGGTACAGTAGAGGATAAACCTTATTTCATGAACAAGAAAACTGAGACTTTAGAGGGGATTGAGAGGATTTGTTCAAGTGAATTCTTTTATTTATTTAGGAGAGGGATGGGGGGAGAGAGAGAATCTTAAGCAGACTCCATGCCCTGTGTGGAGCTCAACATGGGGCTCCATCCTGACTCTGAGATGTCCTGAACTGAAATCAGGAGTTGGATGCCTAACCAACTGAGCCACACAGGTGCCCCTCAAGTGAATTCTTAAGAAGTCCTGGGCATTATTTATAAACTAACTTTTGTATAAATTCCCTTAGCAGATGAGAAACTTGACATGTGTCATTCTTTTTTTTTTTTTTTTTTTTAATTTTTATTTATTTATGATAGTCACAGAGAGAGAGAGAGAGGCAGAGACACAGGCAGAGGGAGAAGCAGGCTCCATGCACCGGGAGCCCGACGTGGGATTCGATCCCGGGTCTCCAGGATCGCGCCCTGGGCCAAAGGCAGGCGCCAAACCGCTGCGCCACCCAGGGATCCCCGACATGTGTCATTCTTGATACCACCTCTCCCTTTTGTTCAGAATGAGAATTTCAGCTGGATTCAATTTGTTGTCAGTTGTTTCTGTAGTAAGGCCATATGTTGCCCCTCCGGAGGTGCTTGTCAGCCACTCTGAGTGATGGGTTAGGAACTTGCTTGTGATTATAGCATGAATCAGCAGTAGAAATTTCTTGGCTGCTATTCTGACCTCTAGGTTGTGCCACCTGTTAGAACTAGAGCTAGAAATGTTGATGATGCCAATTTATTTAACTGTGAAAAATTGATGGTCTTTAATTTGGTAATGAGGGGAAGGACTGAGATGTGTTATTTAGTAGAGACCTTTCTGTTAGGGAAATGTGGAAGAACTGAGACACTGGATTAAGTTTTCAAGTCTCTTGTTGACTCTGTGATCCTGAGTTCTGGATTTGAGCCATTTAACTAATGGTCTTGTCCATTTTGGAATGTGTCTTGACAGTACTCAGCAGTTGTTCTCAGCTCTGGTTTGTGCATCAGAATTTCCCGGGGATATTTTTTTAAAAATATGGTTGT